GTGCTATGATCTTTGTGACTATTTCCTGAGGCATAAATGACACATCAGAATAAGGAAAAATAAGCCCAGGTTTTGACAAATCAGAACTGTAGCTGGAAAGTCTTGGAATACTTGTAGCAATGTTTTCAACTCAAATCACATGGCATCTATCCACTACTAAATATCCCTCAGTGGTTTTTTTTGCCAATGGAAGAACTAAAGTTACTTAAAGCAAAGAGAGAACAACTGTACCCTGTCATCTTAGAACAGAGAACGAAATCCCAGGAAATGAAGAAGTGAGTGAAAAGAAGACCAGATATAAAGAAGGGTAAGGTGGCATCAACTTCTCAGTATAAGTAGTTGAGATTTACTACAGCTTATATACAATATACCTTATAAAAAGCCTTCCTTTAGCCACACCATCTAGGAGTACAAGTTAAAGGAAATTAAGAGCAATTAGTGATACATATCAAAATCTCTGATATTATAGGATCTCCATTTTTCCTTCTTTCTTGGAGGGTTCAGTGTCTACCTTATCTGTCCTTACAACGTGACCATTCAACCTGCACCGATCCTCTCATTCTCTGCTGATCATACTGGATGGAAGGGGCCCTCACTCTGGTTGCTAGTGATGTTCCTGCCACTGAGGTACCGCCTTCTGGTCTGTGCTGCTGTTAGTCTAGGGGTGAGTTATGGTGAGGGGGCATGTGTGTAATGTGCTTGAACCACTATTAAGTCTTTTTTGATCACTCATGTTCTAGCTAAGAGCATGAATCCATAGACAGCTGAGATAAGGGACAGATACAGTTTATGCTGGACTTGGAGTCATCTAAATAGCGAGGTTTATGGGATTTTCACTTTAATTAGGAAAGAATTCTTTCTCTCTTCCCCTCCCCCCCTCTTTTACTGAGGTTTGAACTCAGGGCTTTGCATTTGCCAGGAATGCACTCTACCCCGAGTCATGCTTCCAGCCAGGGAAGAGTTATTGACTCAGAGGGATCTCAGTTTCTTATGTGAATAATAACCACATCTCACTGAGCTCTCAGATACTTCTGCACCCCAGGTTTGGTGCAGCTGGGGCTTCTGCTGAGGTTTGTCATATGTTTGGGTGTTTTTGACATCCATATCTCTTTTAGCACCAGATGTTGAAATCCTTTCTTCCCAAATACTGTACTGGTCCCAGAGGAGTACAACCATTAACTGTCCCTTAACGCATGAAATCTCATCGGTAACTCTGACTCTGGATTTCAAATAACTACCCCTTTTTCCTTTTTCAGCTATCCCTATTTTAAAAGGCATCACAAGAAACAAAGGTTAAAGTATATTCAAATATAAACATGGCTTGTCTTTCAATATTGGCCAAAGCAAAGCCTTGCCTTCCTGAGATTCAGCTAGCTACATACAGTGTTAGAAAAGTGTCATTGTGTTATCTTCCAGCCTGGAATTTCTAGAAATACTTTTGCGCTCTCAATATGCAGGATTATTTTAAGCCCACTACATTTTAATGTTATTGCTGCTGTTACAATAGACACCAGCTACCAATTACGATAACGTTTTATTTATATATCAAGAAAAAAAGCCATTTGGTTAAAATTATCAACTATATTTCAATTACTTTGTAATGAGATATTAGCTAATATCTTTTGAGAAAATCTAGAGTAAATCAGTTAAGTTAATAATCTTGATAATTTTAAGATGAAATAACCCTATGTTCTCAAATTTAAATACTTCATATTTCCAGCATGTTTGTGAGCTAACAATAGAAAAGTATGGCAAAGTCTAGACAATGGGTTTTTCCGAAGCGAAGAATTAAGTCTAAATGTAGGTCAATAACCTTCAGAAAGTGGACAGCTATGGATTTTAGTTTGCTATTGCTCAGGAAAGGTCCCGTAATTAGCTCTTTCAGTCATTTGTTCACTGTGAGCTTTTCTATGTTTCTTCCTGTCCATCAGGCTCCTCTTTTAGCAATGATAATAAATATAATAAAAATATAATAATAGAAAATTTAATCAGAAATTAGGACATTTAGTCAGGAATTCGATATTTCCATAAATAAGATTTTTAGGTAACTAAACCTTTCTGATATTTTTCTTTTATTTTAAACATTATTTGTAAGCTGATACATTAAAGACAATAATTACCTGTATTGATGGCAATACCATGTGATAATTTATGGTTCATGTCTATTAAACTTTATTAGCTAAAGCAAAAACCTAGCTAGGCAGGAGTGGCTCATGACTGTAATCCTAGCTACTCAGGAAACTGAAATCTGAGGATCGTGGTTCAAAGCTAGTCCAGGCAGGAAAGTCCATGAGACTTTTATCTCCAATTCACCACCCCAAATTCCAGAAGTAGAGCTGTGACTCAAGTGTTAGAGCACTAGCCTTGAGCAAAAAAGATCAAGAACAGTGCCTGCGTTCAAGCCCTAGGATGCATGTGTGCGCGTACACACGCATGTGCATCCACACACATTAAACATTTTTGCTGTATTAAATATACTGAAGTTTTTATAAGGCATATGATAGTTATATATATTACCATGATTTTAACAGTCTTTTAATGAATAATTGGTTTGAGTTCTAGAATACTGATGTTCTTTGAATTTATGGAACCATTCATCTACTCATTCATCTATTTAGCTAGTATTGATTGTTACTATGTTCCAAGAAACTTAAAAGGCAGTAGAAATAGAGCAGTGAGTAAAGTATAGAAAGCCCTGTTCTAAGGGAGATCATCTTCCAGTCAGTATGTGCTGAAGATGCCAATAGTGTGTTCTTGGATTTCTCAACTTCTAGAACCATAAGCCAAACAATGCTGAACTCCTTATAACTTACTTAGGCTTGTGTACTTTGTTCCAGTAAGAGAACAAGATAATATACAGGGTGTTGGGCATTACATACATGGGCCTGGCTGCTGTTTTTTTTATTAATAAGTTTTTTTATTGTGAAAATATCGTACAGAGGGGTTACAATTACATGAGCAAGGTAATGAGTACATTTCTTATCAAGCATTGTTGCCTGCTCCTTTGTTTCCCGTTACCATCCCTGTCCTCCCATCTTCCCCACCCCCCACTGCCAAAGTTGTAAAGTTCGTTTTTCAACATAACGTCTTGTACATTTTGATTGCTTTGTCTTCCTTCTTAGATGTCAGTTATTTTCTCTGCCTGGTTCCATTTCTCCTTTTGATCTGAGGTGTCATTGTTGGTCTCTTTCCTAAGTGTTTGCCTAATGATAAACCACATTTCTGGATAGGGACCAAGTAGCTCATAGCATGCTTCCTGTCACTTACACACTCATTTTTTCTATTCCTACTTGCAATGTTTGAGGTCTTTGTTCCATTATATTGTTTATGTGACTCAGTTCTAATAATCTGGTTCTATTACTAGGCTCAAAAGTCTCTGTGACATATTTTTTCCTCAGAGAATGAATACATCTAAATGCAAATAACAAGCATAAAATCTAGCTTTATGGTTGTTGATTAGAGATGGAATCTCATCAGCTTTACTGCCTTGTCTGGACTCGAACTGTGATTCTTTAGACCTCAGCTTCCTGAGTAGCTAGGAAAACAGGTGTGAACCAAAAGAACCAGGCCCACTAAACCTTTTTAAAGGAAGGAAAATGTTTTCTTACTTCCTTATGTATCAACCACTTCTAAAACTGGAAAATTCAAAGAAACATAGGTCCCATGGTTTCCCCTATTTGCAATAACTAGCATATATCTAGGACAAGCAGAAGAGATCAAAAGCTATGTACATATGACCATATAGCCTGATGCTAAGTGAGCCCCAAGATAGGGACACAGAGGTTTTATCTTTGTTGCTGTTCTTCTTAATGTACTTATAATGTACTATGTAATTTTTTTGTTTCTTTTGTATGTTCTTCCCCCATGGTACAATCCCTGTGGTCACTGTGTTTGATCCAGTGCCCTGCATCTGGTATATACATTTTTCTAATTTGGGGAAGTGAAATAACAAAATGCTGAAACAAGGATACAGGATGACACATTGTAACAATGAGATGTACAAGACAGTATGTTGAATATGAACTTTACAACTTTGCGGGGGGAGGGGTAGTGAGAGAGGGGAGGGAGAAGTTGGGGAAGTGGGGAGGAAAGGGATGGTAGGGGAAATATAAAGGAAGCTGTAACAATGCTCCGTAGGAAGTGGACTCATTACCTTGCTCATGTAATTGTAACCCCTCTGTACAGTATCTTTACAATAAAAAAATATTAAAAATAAATACATAAAACTGCCTGGTAGGACTGTAGGGAGAGAATTGAAATTCTACTGTGTTGAAGGGAAGAATGGTGACTAAGATACAAAGGAATATCCAAGACTCATTCACAGACTATCAGATATTGGAGGGTCATCCTGAGCAGTAGTCGAGCATGATGGTTAAGTATTCCAGTTCTGGAGCTAGATTGTGGTATCCACTATGGTCATTTGACCTTGGCCTAGATATTCAGCATTCCATGCCTCAGTTTACTCACCTGCAAAATAATGTGTATAGCACTTCACAGGGTTATGAGGATTAAATGAATGAATTCAGGTACAGCACTGCACTACGCTTGGCACACAGTAAGCAGTAAGCATGTAGTAAATATATTATCTCAATTTCTTCACACACTTTTATACATAAAGAAGATAGTAACACATTAAGATTTTAAGTGAACAGAAAGTTAATAGTAAAACCACATCAAAATCAGAGGTCCTAGGGCTAGAAGTATGGCTCAAATGGTAGGACTTGAGTTCAAACCCCAGTAACTACAAAAACAAAGATTTTTATGCTTATATAACAAATAGGAAGAGATTCAGGATAATTTAAAAAATTATGAATGAACTACTAAATTATATGTTGAGTCACTCTTTCCTCTCTAAAATGCAAATATCCAGATATACTCTGCCCAGCTCTGTTCCCTTAATCCCTGCAGCAGGACTAGTTCTATAGAGACAAATGACAGGATTGGGACCACAGATGAAGTTAAATTTTATAAATCAGTAGTGCCACCATTTCTTTCCTTACCTTGAACTTGTCAACTTCTGCTTTTGAACATGTGGCATGGTACGATAGCACCTAATTCAGAAAGAAAACAAAAAAAGAACTTCAATAATGAAAAACAGGACAGCATTTTCTGAAATTCTCTTGGATTAAAAAAAAAACTTTTTCATGAGATGGTTTCGATATAACAGTAGATTTGAATGTATGACAAAAGATTTTCATGAATCATCTGTGACAAAGATCAAAAGCAGGTGAGCCTGTCACCATGTCATGTGAGCTGGAAATTGCCTTATCATATATAATTCAGATACAGAGGCCTAAAAGGAGGTCCATTCACAGGCTCCATGAGATTGGGGTGATCAGCTGCTGCTGCTCTGCTCAATGAAATATTAGTAGAAGCATTCATTTGCTTTTTCCTTCTTCCCTTTATTCCATCTTTAAAATCTGTTATTTCTGAGTAAACACAAGTGTCAAATGTCAGCTTCTTAAAGATAGCTGAACAAGAAAGGAAACAGAAAGGAGGCTGGTAAAATTGGAGCTGGCTCAAGTGGTAGCGCACCTTGAATGAAAAAACCCAGTGACAGTGTCCAGGCCCTGAGTTCAAGCCACACACACACACACACACACACACACACACACACACACACACACACACACACACACACACACACACACACACACACTCCAGATTGGGTCTAGGCTGCTCTGTCCAGGGCTGTTTCTTCTTTTTTTAATGGAACAAATAAACAACCACATGCTTATTCCAGTATTGGTATGTTATAAGACAGTCATGTATAGTATACATATTATGTACATAATATATATAATGGCTGTGTTTTCTAGGTTGTATGTTTTAAATACACTCTTAATCTATATGAATTATAAATAAGTTTGAGAAATGTTAAATCTTTCTGTTTCTACCAAGTTTAGAGGACTCATTTGGTTCTGAAAGTAACTCAGCATTTCTCACTTAGCCATAGGACTCCATTTTGTGTGTGTGTGTATGTGTATCCTGGGACCCAAACTCAGGACCTGGGTGCTATCCTTGAGCTTTTACCCTCAAGGCTAGTGCTCTACTACTTGAACCATAGTTCCATTGATGACTTTTTGGTAGTTAATTGAAGAATCTCATAGACTTTCTTGCCCAGACTGACTTCAAACTGATCCACAGATCTCAGCCTCTTCAGTAGGTAGGATTACAGCTGTGAATCATCAGCACCCAGTGAGATTTCATTAAGTGATAAAGAAATGTAGTAACATGATAACCTAGTAACCTATGAGCCAAGAACTTTGGTGCACACGCCATGTGTGGATGGGCACACTCAGCAATGGGCAGCAGTGGAGGCAGTGTCTATGGGGGTTAGAACCCAGCCTCCTCAGCAGCACTTCTGGGGTGCATCTAATTCCCAGCATTGTGAGGTAAGGCAATCTCTTTGAGTATCTTGAAAATGGCATAATAGTGCTACTACAGAATCATTCTCTTCTTAAATCATTAATCTGGGTTGTTTGGGTTTGGTTTTTTTGAGACAGAGTTTTATTACATAGTCTAAGTAGGCCTCAAACTTGTGATCTTCTGTCTCAGCCTCTCAAGTGCTGGGATTACAGAAATATCAGCAATCTATACTTCAAGATTCGAGGTTCCACCTGAAAATATTCATGAGAGTTATTTTCCTTTGCTTTTAGTTGGAAGTACTATAATGCATGGTAAAGTATGTAACAACTTTTTTTAAAAAGTAGCATTTATTATTATTATTATTTTGCCAGTCTTGGGCTTGAAATCAGGGCCTGGGCACTGTCCTTGAGCTTCTTTTTGCTCAAGGCTAGCACTCTACCACTTGAGCCACAGCACCACTTCTGGCTTTTCTCTGTAGTGGTACTGAGGAATCAAACCCAGGGCTTCATGCATGCTAGGCAAGCACTTTACCACTAAGACATATTAACAGCCCTTTTTTAGGTAACTTTTTGAGTAACATTTACATGTGTATATAAAAACCAAAGAATTATGCTAGGTTTTAAGTTGTTCTAAATACCACTTTTTAAGGTCTCCTTGAATTGAATATTTTATTTCTCATTGTAAACTGTTTTCTCACTCACTACTTTTTTTATGTTTTCTTCAATTCCCTTCCGGCTTTGTAAGAAACTCACAGAAGTGTATTTATTAGAGATCAATACATTCTATGAGGTCTACTTATTAACAACAAAGCAGGGCTGGGAAGGTGGCTCAGTAGTAGAGTGCTTGTTGTCTTGCATGCATGAGGCCCTGGGTTCGATTCCTCAGTACCACATAAACAGAAAAAAAAATCCGGAAGTGGTGCTGTAGCTCAAATGTTAGAGTGCTAGCCTTGAGCTGAAGAGCTGAGCGACAGTGTTCAGGCCCCATGATGGAAAAAAACCAAGAACCAACACACACCACAAAGCAATTTTCTGCTAGGAAAATGTTAAGCACAGCAAAAGTCTGTGAGGATGGGTTTGTACTTCAGAGTTCTTTTTTTTTTTTTTTTTGAGTCCCGTCGTGGGCCTGAACTCTGGGCCTGGGTGCTGTCCCTCAGCTCTTCAGCTCAAGGCTAGCACTCTACCACTTGAGCCACAGCGCCACTTCCGGCTTTTTTCTTTTTGCTTATGTGGTGCTGAGGAATGGAACCCAGGGCCTCAGGCATGCAAGGCAAGCGCTCTACCACTGAGCCACCTTCCCAGCCAGTACTTCAGAGTTCTTAAAGAAGATTAAATGCAATAACACATGCCAAATCAATATAAAACTATCAAATGACATTTATTATATTACTTTTATTTAAAATTCTACCTTATATATATTTGTATCATCATATCTTCATTGATTGTAATTTTTACTAAGTATTTTAAATACAAAAGTAACAATAGATTTTCCTTTAATTAAATTTTGTTATGATTAAACTATCATTTTAGAGTCTCTTACTGTTCACAAATAAGAAATGTTGCAGATTCCATATTCAAAACATTTATTTTCCCTAAAAATTGCAAAAAGTCCAAATTCAAGATGCAGTTCAAAATCCTGCCACCAGATGGTGCCTATCTAGGCTACACCAAAAAGTGTACAAAGCTTGGTACTCTCCGTTTGTTTAAATCAACTTGTCCTACTTTTTTATTATGAAAAAAAGTTATTAACTTCACTAAATTGAAACTATTTGAGTCATTAAAGCAAACAATTATTACAAATTAAGTCCATACTTATTTAAGATTAGTTCATTTTGGTTCTCTTGTTATTGAAGTATAGGTGTTCTCTGTATTTTTTTGGATTTAAATCCTCTATTAAATATATATCTGTAATCATTAATTCCCAAGATTTTTCTTCTTTTTTTGATTTTGTTTTTGAGAGGAAGTAACTATGTTTCCCAATCTGTTCTCAAACTCTTATACTCAAATAATCTGTCCTGTGAGTAGCTGGGATTACATTTACGCATCACTGTGCCTTTTAATGAACAAAAGTTTTTAATTTTATTTATTTATTTAGGGTCCGGTCGTGGGGCCTGAACTCTGGGCCTGGGCGCTCTCCCTCAGCTCTTCAGCTCAAGGCCAGTGCACTACCACTTGAGCCACAGCGCCACTTCCGGCTTTTTTCTTTTTTTTGCTTATGTGGTGCTGAGGAATTGAACCCAGGGCCTCAGGCATGCAAGGCAAGCACTCTACCACTGAGCCACCTTCCCAGCCCAAGTTTTTAATTTTAATTTTGTGTGTATGTTGATTTTTTTCATGGTTGTTGTTTTATGTGTCACTATTAAGAACATTTTGCCTACTACCAATTCACCTACATTTCTTATAGTATATATTTTGAGATACATACCTTAGCTTGTCTTTTATAATTACTTCTATAATACATATGAAATGAAATTTATGCATAGTATAAGATTAGATTGATAAGAAAATTCCCGTTAATTTCCCTTTTCTTAAATCTTCTGTATTTACTCTATCTAATTTGACAAAGTTAAAAAAAGGAAACTTTTCATGGGCAGGTTGTAATCTTTTTCATGAAAAAAATCCTGTAATAGGATGGGGAAGGAGGTTAAGAAAACAATAGAGGTGTAAATGTCTGTGGAGAGTATACATCTGTAAACCATTCCCTTCTGAAAGTTGGAAAGATTGCAATATAACTACAACTCCATCACATGTGAAAAAAAATAAAAGGACGCTTTTGCGTTCGAACATTTTTGTTAGGAGAGTTCCTGTGTCCTTTTATATGACGCAAAGCCAGTAAGGAAGTGGAAGAAGGGTTTGGCTAAAAAAAAAATCGTTCAGCCATCTTCTCCTAAAAGCATGTAGTCCCATGTGAGTGACCAGGGAGAAGAAAATGCTAATAGAGAAGAATATGCTGCTGGGCACCAAAGAGCCTGCCAGTAAACCGGTCTGAAGGGATGGTAGCATCACTGCCATTAAGACTCCTTAGAAAAACCAGGAGCCTGAAGAAGCAGATTCTTTAAGACAAATCAGCTTTGAATCTTGCTAAGGAACTTTCCAATTTTTCCTTCCCAACCAGTTCTTACAGTTTTGTTCTAAAGGATTCCTTGGGCTTCATTCAGGAAGGTCGGGGGACTCCATTGCTCCAGTTGACCTTTTGTGTTTGCTTTGCACAGGGTGCAGCAATGAGAAACTCGCTGCATCTGTACCCCTGGCCCATACTACATAGCCTCACACAGCTCCACTTACATGTAAAGGTATAACAGTGATCACGCTTAGTTCAGCTTCGTGTTGAAAAGACTGTGATCAAATGTGATTAGCTTACTATTTTTAACAAGCATCTGCGAGATACTGCCAAGGTCCACAAAGGTCACAGACTGCATCTGATTCACCTTCTTCTCCCTCAGTTTTGATTCTGCCATTACCATTCCCCTGAGATAGCTTGAATCAAAGTAGAAGCTTTTTGCTGCCAGGCACTGACACATCCCCAGGTCCTTCTGCAGGAGTTTTGAAGCTGGAATATTATTCCTTCTTTATTTTTTTCCTACTTGAACAATCTCTTCTCTGAGCCTTCATGACAGTGTACTATTTTGGTTTTCAACCTATCTCTCCTTCCTCTCACCCTCCTCTGCTTTCTTTGCTAGTTC